AATATAAACATCATATATTTTGCATTAAACATACAATTTTTAGATAAAAAATTTTTCTAGGTAACTATGTTATCTTTTGTGCAAAAATATATGACATTATATTCAAAATATTCCTATCTTACAAGGAATCCAGCAATGTCAATTATATTATCCTAACTTTAATCTGAGGTATTATTTAATACTAAATGTTAAAAAACTCTGAAAGGAGGATTGGTGGGGGGGAGGGTTGGACTGACCGCTGTTGGAAGAGGGGTGGAGGCAGGGGTACTTTTGATTGACAGATAGTGTTGTGAAGATTTTTTTTTATTAACTGAAGATATTTGTTTTAGCTCATAAAAATTCATATTAAATTACCCGGTCAGAATATAATTTACATTGCTGGAATTCTTATAATTTGATATTATTTTGAATATAAACATCATATTTGCATTAACATACAATTTTTGATAAAAATTTTTCTCAGGTAACTATGTTATCTTTTTGTGCAAAATATATGACATTTATATTCAAAATATTCCTGGTCTTACAAGGAATCCAGCAATGTCAATTGTATTATACTGACTTTAGTTTGAGGTATTATTTATTAAAATTTTGTGGTTTTCCCCAAAAGTTTCTCTGAGGGAAGAGCTGGCAGTGTAGTTTGAGAGTGGAGGGAGTTGAGTCCATTATTTGAATGGACATTAACTTCTGCACTGTATTTTCATTTCTCTTAAGTATTAATGATGTATGGAGTTTGGGGTCACGGTTTCTATTGGAATTAACCCATATGTTCTGTTGTTCACTTAATCATGATTTCACTTAACGCTGACCCTCTGGGTTCAATTGACCAAGTAGGGGCACAAACTGTATGTATGTGTGTATGTATGTGTGTGTATATATATATATATAATATATATATATATATATATATATATATATATATATATATATATATATATATATATATATATATATATATTATATATATATATGTATATATATATATATATATATATATATATATATATATATATATATATATATATATATATATATATATATATATATATATATATATATATATATATATATGTATGTATACATACAGTATATATAAATATGTTTGTGTAATAAATGTATGTAGTAAGTACGTAATATTTTTTCACTCAAATCCTAATGAAACACTACTGGAGAACATTCCTTTGTCGCAAAACAGTTTATAAATTTAAGAAAATAATTACAGTGTGTTTAATATATTACAGTATATTATAAATAAATAAATAAACAAATAATTCGGTAAATCTATTTCAAGTAAATGGAAAATAAGCAAACAAATGTTATTTGCCAAGACGCTTCCGTCTGGCTCAGGGTGAGATGGAGGGGAGATAACAAGGCTATTTATAGCCCGTCTGAAGTGGCCAGTACCCTAATGCACCATAAATAATTCATTGAACATTCATTTGTTGTACATAGTATATTCAGTATATATATATATATATATATATATATATATATATATATATATATATATATATATATATATATATATATATATATATATATATATATATATATATATATATATATATATATATATATATATATATATATTTGTGTAATAAATGTATGTAGTAAGAACATACCGGTAACCCTTTTCACTCAAATCCTAATGAAACACCACAATTAGAATACGGTGGTTGCTGTTGAACCACCTGTTGTATAAATAGTCGGAACACAGTCCCACCACCGAGACGAGGGAACACTCCCACCACCGATCGTGTCTCGTGTGAAGCAAGCGTATAAATGAAAGAAAATACTTGCAGTGTGTTTAATATGTTACAGCATATTATAAATAAATAAATAAACAAATAAATCGGTAAATCCATTTCAAGTAAATGGAAAAATTTTACTCGACACCGACATTAGTTCCAGTTACTGGTAAATAGCAGACGCTTCAGTGACGTCACTAGTGTTTACACTACACCAGCGGGTAACATTTGATGACATTACTTGAAGTGAATTGGCCTTATTTTAAAAAACCAAGGATAGTTGGTAAAGGACTACTGAGTCAGTGGGTAAGTGTCACATTTGGGGTACTGGTCTTATACAGCAAATAGAGCTCAAAAGCTACTTTTTAAATGGAAATTTGGGGGGGCCGTCTTATGCACCCCGACGCCTTATAGGCCGCGATATACGGTATATATATATATAACCTAACCAATCTGAAAACCGAAAAATTCCGAAATTCGAAATGCCTCTGGCCCCAAGGGTTTCGGATAAGGGATTGTCAACCTGTATTAGGAATGTAAATATTTCCTGAAACTCAAAATTGAAAACTTATGGCCCCAAAGTTTAATTATTACAGTACAAGTTAACAGAAAACAATGTACGAGATCACCTCCAAGTACAGTCTTGTAAAGGTATACTATGGAGCAGTGGTTCCCAAACTGAGGGGCATGCCCCCCGTAAGGTGGGTACAGGGGAAGCATGAAGCCATCTGCCAAAATTTGCTATTTTTTGCTCAAAAAGAATATAATGACGTAACTCTTTCAGGAGTAAGTCTCTCTCCGTTTGAATCTTCCACACATCAGTGCAAAACCAAATTATAGCAGTCACCCCTATCCTTTTTCTATCATTTCATTTCTCTCCTCACGCGTCTTGTACATGTCATGGATACCATACCGACTCTCACACTACTCGTATCTTTCACAACACTACCAGCCACCGATCCTCCCTCACTGAAGTATATAATTAAAGTCTTTTATACTGGTAGTATTTATGTTTTATTTGTTTTCATCCATGTTCACTATGCAAGGAGTTATCTGATCCTCAAAATATAATAATATATAATATATAATAATAAAAAATAAAATCTATGTAGATTTTACATACAAAAATATAAGGGGGGGGGGGGGTGAAGACTTCGCAAAAAGCAAAAGAGGGCGTCATATAAAAAAGTTTGGGAACCACTGCTCACTGCTGTAGAGGTATTCCCTGTTTGCGGTAGGGTTACTTTCCAGTAAACCGTTACGTAAATCAAATTAATGTAAATTGCAAGCCTTTTAACATGGGTTTCAATGGGATACATTCCTGGCCTGTCCGACACAAACATGTAAAAAAAAAATAAAATAAAATAAAATAAAATAAAAAAGTAAAAAAAAAGTAAAAAAATATAAAATCCTACACTAATTAAGTGAACACAAAAATTAAATAACACTCACCACATTAATAATAACAAGTCTAGTCGTCATCACATGTCCCATCCAAGACATTTTCAAAGTTACAGAGTTACAATGATCACTTCAGTCACCAAAACAGAGCAAAATCTGAATGAAAATGTTTCTCTCACCAATAACGGTAAAGTATCACAGCGATCACACGGTTATGCAACAATTAATAACAATAAAATTTGTTACACGAGCGAGTGTAGCAGCGATCACGTTGAAACAATGCACGAGACTGTAGTTGGCATGGTGGCCATGAGGCAGTGTGCTGAGGATGGAAAGTGTTTCTGCGCATATTAGCCATCTTGGATTTGACAAGTGAAGAGAAAAATGTGCTTCCCAGTGTTTACATTCCACATCAGCCTAACACTATTTATCATTACCGTGGATTTTGCCTAAAGTAAATAGCAAGTGTGTGTTAAAACCCAAATAACATTAACATGGATTGTTGTAAAATGGATAATCGTAAATCGGGGGGATAACTGCACCTTAATTTATTATAATATTTTAGAAAACAGTTTATCTACTGGGTGGCAACTTGGCTACACAATTACGTTCCATCTCTATGGATATCATTCCTCATTATCCCCCGTTTAGCAATAACTTACTTTCGAAAATAAGGGTAAGTAAAATTTTTAGATAGATAAATAAATGTACTGTACTGTATAACTTTCTATGGACAAACAAATTTTAAGGTTTATAAGTCACCCATTATTTGAGAAGTATTTACCATCAAAATGCTTTATGTATTTGCTGCCTCAAAAAATAAAAATAGAAATGTAAACTGGTACTGGTAAATGATCTCCCCAACAAAATAGAATAAGCTTGAATTTATTAATCTGGTTTTAATCTGAGTAACATGAATGATATACAGTACAGTAATTTAAGTATTATTTTTCATACAAAATTTCATCTTATAAGTCAACTTTGGCTTTGATAACATTTACTTAGGAATCATTCGGTAATCTAGGAATACCAATGGAAGTTACCTATAAAACACTCAAAATATAAATTTACGTTTTTTAACAAAAGTCCTTTTATGGCTATATTTCTCATAAACCTATGGCTCAGGTATTAACATTAACATTTGCCAAACATTATTCTAATAATATCAAATGACCCTGAATTAAAGTATGGTACTGTACCGTAATTTTCTGAATTACAAAAAAAAAAAAAGTCAAGATTTTAAAAGTCCATAAAAAGAGGATAGATGGTTAGCAAAAATATAACCTTTTCAATAAACCTACAGTCAGTGTATGAACATCATATATCTTTATTTTAATAAAGGTCCTTATACATATATGGGTATATTTTATATGAAATTATGGCTCAGGTATTAACATTATCATTTGCCAAAGCTCATGTTAATGACACCTGTTGATACTGATTACAGGTTTGTTTTTTCTAAATTACCTGTACATGAAAATAAATATTCACAAGATTACAAAATTTCATAAAAAAGGGGAAATTGGTTAGGATAAGTCTAACCTTTTCCAGAAACCCTCAGTCAGAGAATGAACATCCCATATCCCTGTGTGGTGAACCAAAGGGAACAATCCACACACCAATTAATTTTTTTTATTGGTTTGGCTAACACAGGTGGGCTATAATTCTCTGAAGCTTCTTTATATATCACCAGATATGATACAAAACTTTTCAGCTTCAACAACATGTGAATGAACAGTGAATAAAAAACTGTGAATATTGGATAGGTTAAAAGAAGAAAACAATATGAAAGTTATCAAGAGGGTCAAGATTATCATCTGACAACCCACAAGCAAGCAGTCTCTCACTCACTTTCCGATCATCCTTTCAAGCGTACATCAGTCGTGTGCTTCTGACCCCCGGGAGGACTCACGAGCCTGCAAATGACGCATGTGAGGTCAAGTCAAGAAGTGTTAGTGGGTTTGAGAGAATGAAGGATCACACAACTCCTATTACAAAATCTGTACTGGGCCTACTCAAACAAACACTCTTACTGATGCTACCATCACCAATCCATTAATTTTTCAAATGAAAAAATTTGACAACTTGTAAGTCAATCAGTTACACTGTAATGTATCATTAAAAATTTAACATCCCTGTCACTGTAAAGCTGTCTTCATATCATCCATCACTCCCCTCTACAATTTCACATACAGGTATCTTACAATGTAATGGAAAAAATAAATAAAAATAAAAAGTAATTCCAACCAAAGGCATGTAAGTACTGGGCCTTTAAAGTCACGTATTCCATAATAATAAAAAACGAACTCTTAGTGCAAAAAACAGTCTATTGCATGTGACTACAAAACACAAATTGGTACACAGAATGGGATAAACAATTCTTTTAGAAAAATTAGTAATCTGATATGGTCTATGAATTATGTTGTAGGCTTGTACTAGCCTGTGTAAGGGGTCAGGTTTGTAAATGTCTAGCCCATCTAGTGTTAGGAACAAGTCATGAAAATAAAGGTTAATACAGTATACGAGATTGATTATGATTGTCTGGGGAACTTGATGGGAATAGCATGCTAAACTGACAGGTGAAAATATTTAAGTATGCCATGGGGAACTTAGCAAGAATGGCAGGTTAATGTGAGAAGATGGACTAAACATAGACTACGGAAGTACTAATTTATAAAGGGTCTTTTGTGAAGGAGTTTGTAAAGATTCAAGGTACTGTACTGTAATATTATTGTCAATTTTGGCAACCACACCAATGTTAACTAAAATATATATTTTTTTTATGGGTTTGATTTTTAAAGTCAAGGTTTGATATACCGTAAATTGCGGCGTATAAGTCGACCCGGCGTATAAGTCGACCTCAAGATTTTTCGTTCAAAATTCAGGTTTAGTTCTATACTCACCATATAAGTCAACCCCCCAAAAGGCCCAAACATAGGCGAAAGTGCGTAATAAGGCTACGCCACTTTCATAAAGACACTTACCGTAATACCTTTCAATATTTTATATATATATTATATAGTTCATACAAAAAAGGAAGTGGTGCAACAGGATCTACATAGGACAGCAAGCAACCGCTAAAAATCTTCAGTAAGTTATCTTTGTAAGAACTCTGGTAAGCACCAAGCCAAAATCAGCACCTCCAATAAAATAGTAATTGTTTACACAGCATACCAGTGTAGCACCTTGATAGTACAATCTATAAATGGTATGATAGTAGAACATTATGGTGCACCTGGCTTACGATCCGCCATTTACATCAGCTGTTGTAAACAAACTGCCAGTGGCGCCACCAACACCAAGCAGCCAGCTGCAAAACTATGGGTCCGTTGCACTGTCGGCAGCACGGCTTAGACTTAAACTGTCATCCGCTGCAACACTGTTGTTTGAAGAGTTTGCAAACGCAACAACTTTCAGCTTGAAACTTGCATCATATTTCATCCTTTTTGCAGGGGGAGGCGTGGGGATAAGATATTTTCAACTGTTGTCAGGTTGGTGTGTGGGTAATGAGTGGATGCCAGCAAGAGCATAAAGCCACAATGGTTTAGTAAAGTGCCATGTAGGCTTGTTCAGTGTTTGGGGGATACACTGAACAAGCCTACATGGCAATTTACTTGATGTAAGCCTAAATAAGCCATTTAAGGACAATATCCATTCTGAGTGGAATAAATAGATGGTCGAGGGAGAAAAGTCATTCACGAAGGAGGGGTAATATGTGTGCTCCACCACTGGATGTGTTGTGCGAATTTGTAATAAAGTCTTGGGAAGCTGTTCGTGTAGAAACTGTCTTAAAATCGTTCAAAAAATGTGGAATTTCAAATGCAATGGATGGGGAAGAAGATGATTTGTTGTGGCGAGACAGTGACGAGGAGGAGGATGCCAGCAAATATAATGAAGACAAAGTCGGAAGTTCCAGTTATTCAGACCTCTTTATGTTAGACGATAAACAGCCAGCAGACTTTGAAGGATTTTAAAATGTGATCATACATGCTTTTATTGTTAATAAAATATAACTTAGAAGTAAAATTAATCTTGAAGTTAAAGTTTTAACTTTTTACCTTAGAGTTAAGGTTTTAATTGCTGTGTCATTGTGTATATATTCAATAAACTGCCATTATGTATCATTAAACTGTGATTACCCCTGTAGTGTATGTGAACTCACAATCTATAGTGCTCTCATAAAATTGAGCAGCTGGCACCCATATTGTAAGACCAGGTAGTTGTCTGGCTGGCCGCCTGGGTTTAGTGGCGTACTGATCGATTGTTTACTGTCCATCAGCTGTTGTAAATGGCGTTTGGTGTTGTGTTCGTCTAATTATACTGGAATTTACTATTTTATTATAATCTCTATGTTAAATAAGTTTACCAAACATGAATTTCAGTAGGAAATATTAGCTACGGGCCACAGGAGTTACGCTAAGTGATGCACAGCAAGTGTTAGGCAGGCTGTTCCATTTGTTTACCACTATGTGGTACAGCTTCACATTTTATACTCTGAGTATAAGTCGACCCCTGGTTTTGGATAGATTTTTTCAAGCTTAAAATGTCGACTTATATGCCGCAATTTATGGTACATGTAAACAGAACCTTAAATACAAAAGGCATCTGGTGTAGAAATATGCCGTGTATAGAAGCAGCACATGGAACAGAGCTAAATTAATGCATGGGATGAGGTACAGTACAGTGGTCCCTCGATTAACGAACACAATTGGTTCCACAGAGTCGTTCGTTAACCGAAAATTTCATTAATTGAACCTATTATTTCAATGGGATATTGGGTAATTGGTTCCAACTCACAGAAAAAGTATACATACAAAGTACTGTACAGTATACCGGTAATAGAATTAACAAAACATTAAATATAAACTAAATATAGTACAGTACTGTATTGTACAGTATACTGTATAACAATAAATAAAAAAATAATAGAGTACTGTATTTTAACTTACTTTGAGGTGTGTATGTCGTATTCCCGGCAGCTTTGTTTACATATCAAACAGCTGATTGTAGAAGCAGTCGATGATGACATGCCATATTCTTTACAGAGTGCATTGGTTCTAATGCCTTCTTCGTGTTTCATAATAATTTCTGCACTGTATATTATCAATATGTGAACCAAATTTTAAGGATGACCAATAATTTTAATGTAAAAATGCAAAAATAATCATGACCAACAAACTGGATGTTCACTCCACTGTAAACAAAGTTAAACTGAGAAGCATTGGTGGGTGATTCGATCAGCTGATTGGCACACAAAAACTTTTCTCTGTACTGTATATGTTATCAATATGTTAACTAAATTAGAATGACCAATAATTTTAATATAAAAAATGCAAAAATATTCAAGAGCACAATTTTCTTGCTATTTACTCCACTGGAAACGAATGTAAACACAGAACCAATTACTGTATTGGCGGACTAGCCGATCAGCTGATGCGCACAACAAAGTGTTTCTCGTAAGGCTTTCGTTAATCAAAGTTTTGTTCGTTAATGGAATTTAAAATCCTTATGGGAGCTAATTCGTGAACCGAAATTTTGTTAATTGGACCGTTCATTAATCGAGGGACCACTGTACTGTACTGAGAAACTTGAAAAAAGTAAGGGGCTTGGTGCACAGGAGCAGCCTTGATGATGTAAAATCATGATGAACAAAAAACTATGAGAAGAATGACAATATAAGAAGAAATATAAAGTAGGCATTACAAGAATATTAATACTAAGACAATAGGAAATTTTTAAGAGATGATTTAAAGGAAGGGAGCATAGTCTTTGCTTGGATGGGTGGGGATAAAAAGCCTGGTTTAAAAAAAATAAATAAAAAAAATAAAAATAAAAATACCTGTATGTCTGTGGTAATACGGCTAAAAGACTGGGCAGGTAAAAATCATAATCCATATGTTTTATAATGAGCTTTCTGAGGATCCATTTTGTCTCTGTTATCCCAGAGATGATTTTCTGTACAGTATGCTTTTCATATACTGTACAGTATAATCATAAAAAAGGGGGGGGGGGCAGTTTTCTTTTAAAGGCTGATTGGGGTAACACAAGCACAAAAATTTTTCTACACCTTATGGAGAGGAATTATGTTCAGGAATTATGGAGAAACAGAACAACAGTACAATTATGACTGACATACAGATTCTTAACTCGGTGATGGTGACAAGAGATCTTAGTGAAGCTTGGCCGAACTGAAGACTTAGTACGTACATATCCATGTGTTTTGTCCAGGTACACGTAGGTAATACATTAGTACAATATAAAAAATTGGTAAATATTCCTAGAAGCAGACAGTACAGTACACCTGTGGGAAGAACTTGACAGGAATATAAATTGGTGTTAATTTAGTGTTGATCAAACAAGACCACCACACATATACTGTACACTCATATGCCCAAACCAAGAGGAATGAGAGCAGCAGTTAGTATAGTAGTACAAACTCATATTATCATCACTAGATATGAGTAAAAGGAATTCAAACTCAAATCAGCAACACTGAATTTGAACAACTCCCTACCATGTCACTGAATGGTATTAGGTACTGTATCCGGAAGTTAGTTACGGAGATCTACCTCAGGTGTCATCTGCTGGCTGCTCAAAGAATAATGTTAATAATTCACTTGAAAAACCAAGATTTACTACTATGTACAAATACACAATTCCTTTTGTTGTCATAAGCCTTTTCCCACTTAATGCAGGAGGGCTGAAAAAGAGGGAAGACACACAAACAAACAAAACAAACAATAATACCAATAATCAATAAAACATTTTTGTTAATCATCTAGTGAGAAGTGATGGGTCCTAGTATTGGCACAATTACTATGCTTACAGAGAAATTAACTACCTGTAATTTTTCATTAATAAGATCAACATTTTCTCCAGTCTGTCAGCCAAGCCCTCGTACTACTTCAAGCTGGAGACACAAAAGTTAATCCTGGATCGACACACTTAATATTATTCCACCTACACTGTCCAGCAGAACCATCCATAAACATACACATAACCTAGTAACCTATTATATCCACAGGCACAACCAAAGAGTATACAGAATCCATCATCACTGGGAATCTCCAGTATTTAGAATCCACTCTTTCTGGAGAAATTAAAGTACAGTAAAGCCTCAAATAACAACGTTACTGTGTCCTCCAATATTTCAGTGTAAGGTCAATCATGGTATCGTGAATCACTAATTACCAATAAAATAAAGCAATAATAATGAGATGTGTTCCCAAGTGTGACCTTTTCATATCTTTTGTGTGGCTTTTTACCCTCTTTTCCCCCAAAAAAATACAATCAATGAAAAGTGCAAACTATATTATTTAAATAATGCTTATGAATGCACCTTATATAATATAAATGAATAATAATATGGTCACACAAGAGGAGATGGGACGCCATTACTGTATTTTCGTTAGTGTTTACAGCCGGGACAGGACGATGGTTCTACATAAGAAAATAAGACCTTGGTTGTAGTTGTAGCGAACTTAATGGAAAAAAATGAATACCTGTATGTATGTTTTAAATAATGTTAATTAATGTTAATAAATGGAACACTAGAAGTAGCTAACCACTAATGGTAAAGAAATAAAGCGAGACTGATTGGGAACACCAACGTAGGTAAGTGCGCACATGTGAAAACATATCGTCATTTCTCTACATAAGAATATGAAAGCAACACTTATTTACTGTTCATATATGTTATAAATAATATTTACGAATATAAAACTAAAATTCTACTCACCAATGGTGGTAAAGTCTAAAACATAAGGACAGCCAATGATGTTGTGTGAGTTTTTACTCAGATGACAAAGTCATCAGGTTCACCTCTAGCTCAAGCTGTAGGTTCAAGTCTAGCTGAAGCTGTAGTTTTCCATAAAGCTGTTGCTGAAACTGTTACTAAACCTGAAGTTGATGATGTAGCTGCTTATGGTGCTGAATTTGATGGTGTAGCTGAAGTTGATCGTTTAGGCCTTTAAATAATAAAGCTGTCAAAAGAACCTTGCACAGCCGCTTTCTTTTCTCATTACACACCTTTATGTAGAGGTCATTTGTGTATTTTATGTCGCTGTTAATTTTAATGCTTTGTTCTGTTAATGGATCCACTTCAGAAAATATGTTCATTGCTTGCTCCATATAATATCCACAGACCTCTCACCTTTTTCATATCGTTTTAACACATCTAGTTTCTCGGCTAAGCTCAGACACTTTCTTTTAGCTTCTGAACCAGCACTACCATCACTTGCTCTCTTGCGCATGTTGAATAGGGACGCAAAAATGTCATAAGAAACCTGAGAAAGTTTGTCTCCTGTTCCTGCTCAGATGCGTGAAACAAAAGGCCCGCAAGCTGTGACTGTTCAAACTAGTGATGCTGGCATCACCCTCACAAGCCTGGCAGCCTCCGTGCACAAGGTGTGTTTTTTTTAATTGTATAATACATATCAGAATTTAGCTTTTATTTATATGAAAATATAATTTTTTTAAATTCTATTTTTGTTGTAAATACGAAAAAAATAATGGCGTAAATTTAGTTGGGTCATAAATTAACCAGGTTCTTAAATATGAATCACCGTTATCGGAGGCTTCCCTGTACTGTACTTATTGTCGCAAAATATTGTGGTCACTACCCTTCCCTACGACAGTACAGTATCAAATTCAATCACCCAAAACCAATTGTCCACACTATACTGCTGCCCCACACTCTACAGTACATACAACTCATCTATTCAGAACATGCACAACATTTATCAAAAATAATTCTTCAAAGGAACCTTTGTAAATGATCTCGTGGATCTACCAGTAGTTGTAATCAAATTCCTGAGGTGACTCATATGAAGCAGAAACTAAAACAACACACCAAAAGTAGTCACCATCATTTTCATTATACACTATAAGATCATTAATTTGTGATTAACTTTACTGTACTTCATTTGTTTTTACTAGCAAGTGAGATATTTTATACAGAACTACCACTTTAAAATTTAAACTTACAAAGTACAAATAAAAAAACTGAACTTTTCACAACTTATCCAATCAGATTCTATTAAAAGAAGCTTTGGTTCACATTAATACTTTCAGTTGATACAATATATAAATATCATCACCCTGAAGCAACAGATGTGACTTTCTCTCCTCTCCTTCAGTCAGTCACACAGATTAGTTCACATAAAGTACATAACTTTAATACTGTCACTACATCCAGGATTATTTCACACTCATCATAGTATATAACTTTCTTTACACATTCCTTATATACATCACAAAAATTTTACATTTCACTGCAGTTCAGTTTTTATGTTTGTTGTATGGAGAAGAGAAGTGTGAAGATGAGAGGAAAGAAGACAAGAGAATATAAGAAGAGAGGAGAGAAAAAGGAAAAGAGAAAGTTATTGGTACAGCATTCATATTTTCCCTTCCATTCCAATTAGTTATCATTTAATGCCTAACAATCCACTAAAAATACAAAAAGTTTTATACCCTACATTATTTTCTCTATACAGTATCTATAACATATAAACTGTAAATATTTTAATAAACTTTACTTTTGCTCTCCTCTTAAGTTGGAACAATCTACCAGCCCAAGCTGTGGAACTGACAACAGTAGTACTGGGCTTCAAAATAGCCCAAGACAAGACTACCAAGAACAATGGAAGGATCCTACACAGACCACTGTCCTCCTTCCCTTAACATGGCCACCTCTAGTTGGGTGTGCCATCAGATAAATGACTACCTCCCCCTCCCCTTTCTTCAAAGAACAGCTGAAAATGAAAGTGGATCCCCTAAGGACAAACAGTCAGTTAGGGATAGTAGGGTTACAGCAAACATTATACTAAGACTTGCATACACACAGATGTACCATGACTGGCACTGCAATTGACTGCTTTCCCTTCCCCAACTGTAAAGTTTGGTACCCTTTTCCAGGTGGGTGGACTGGGAGTGTCCTGGGATCACACCAGCAGGCAAACACTCCAAACACCTACTCTACAGATATTATGGAATAAATTGTTTGAATACTTTTTTTTCACTTAGTGTAACCACAACCATGGCTCTTTTCAACTTTAAAAATACCCTTCCTAAATAATTGACTAAAATTATCTCCCACATCCCCAACTTGCTAACATCATAGGCTCCCCAATGTAGTCCTAGTCCATGTCGGCTTCACACTCATAAGTAATACAACCACATTTTTTGCATTTCTTTAAATCCAAGTTTAAAACTAATTGCACTCTTTGCTTTATTGTATTCTTCACTTAAAATAAAAGTTCCTTTTCTTGAAGTGCACATTCATAATTTACTTCCATTTTATATATGTCTCTTCCTCTTCTGGTTAATAAACTACAAAGTTGTATGCATATGAACACACATTAAGTTGCAAGGAAAACTAAATTATGTTGACAACCTTCTCACTGTTAACCTCAAGGCCGTGTTTTACATTCTCAATGACATGGCTGTTACAACACTCCACGGGAAACAGTTTTGATGAAAAACAGACAAGGTAAATGTTTGGTGATCAGTTTGAGATCTATCAATAAAACCCATGTAAGGAAAAGCCCTCACATCAATCTGAAGGTTGAGAAACATAACCATCCAACTGTGGTTCTTCATAGTCCAAGTAACAGTCTAAATCACTAACTTCATTCTTTCATTCTTAATAAAACATGGAAATCAGAGGTTTCTACATTTTTTATGGATGAATACTCAATACGGTATTACACAAATTCAAGCAAATTTGTGTATCAAAAGAAATGTCATAAAAAAAAGACCAAATGTTCATTCACTGTCAATAAAATAAAAGAAAACAGCATTTATAATAAAACATCAGTGCACAGAATCATTATTACAGCCCTACTTACGAAACAGTGGATACCTCACGAAAGAAAGTATTATTAATGTGCTATGAACACAAAGTAACCCACTCACCAAATGGCTTGGAGCTAAAAGGTGAATTGATGGAAAATGGCATACTAAACTGTAGGGCCCCAGAAGTGTTGGTACCAAAACCTGATGGGTTTCCAAATACCGGTAGGGATTTTGTGCCAAAAGAAGTGTTGCCTGCTGTGCCTCCTAGGTTGAAATTACTCGTGCCAAAGGATGTTCCCCCAGTTGAGAAAATACTTGAAGAGTTGGTGTTACTGCTGTCGAAAGTACATAAATTATAAACAAGAATTATAAACCTAATTATCTGTATCTACTATTTTATCTTTCTTTACTCCCCTCCTATTTCTGTAAGGGCGGGTTTATGAAATACAGAGCCTTAAAAAATGGGGAGGTGGGGTGGGTATGGTAGGGAAGAGTGGCACAAAACAAAAGACAGGAACAGGCTGAAACAAACAGGATAACTTCACATACACTTTTTCATACAACTAATCACAACAATACATTCTAATACTCTCTACCTAATAAACCTTCCATAGTAAATTACCTAATGAATATTTCTTCCAAGCATTACAGTATCTCATCTAAGTGTCCAATTCTACTGTGATCTAACACTTCTTCTGTGCACAAACATCCTGAGAGGTAAAGGTAATTTTTTTCTTCCATCTCTGCTTACTATAAACACTTAGTAGAAACGGTGAACTGTTATGAAGAGCTGTGAATCAATTTAAATACTAGTGATTCATTTTGTATATCTCATATGCTACTTGAGGATATGAAGAGGAAAGTAGACATTTCTCCTTAGTCTCTAACTCCTTTTCTATAGTCTTGCACCACTACTTTTTTATGCTTCGGCACCACTTAATCCATCCAACACAAATGTAGAAGAGGAGTAAAGATAATTAACATAGAACAACATAATTTTTGTATTTGTTCAACCTGAGGCTGACTACTTCCTGTTATATATTCCTGCCATTTATTGAACTTACACTTTATCAGTATGGTTTAAGGACTCTCTTTCAGGTTTAACATATACAGTTCAGGATGTCTCCCCAAAACTGTAATCGTACGGCCAAACTGATTGCTTGGGTGTGACGACTGAAATTTGCTCTACAGGAAAACATGTACGTATATCAGCAAAATATGTAGCACAGTGAAAATTTTTCATTAATTTATACATTTTGTATAAGTAAAAATAGTTTAGTAGAAGTGTGTATAGTGAGGACTGCCTGTAATGCAATTCCTAAGGGGTTAAAATCTATAATAGAACACGTGGGCAACCCAAGGCCAGCGTATGGCCCTGAGAGCAATGTGATAATCATTCAGTGTGATCTACGGCTCAACCAGATGCAGCCTGCTCACCATGTGTGTGGTATTCTTCACACACTCACAAGTTTCATGTGTAGCAACAATAAAAATGGTAAATCAGTGGAATCTGTCTCTATTCAACAATATAAAAATTCTTACTTGTGTGAAGGTACACTCGCCACAAAAACTTCTGGAACAGCTGGGCACGACAGATTTCAGAATAAGCACTGTGGCTCGTGTCATCTCAGAATGGCTGGTATGCCTGGTTGTGAAGTGACTCTTAGTATTACGTAATAATACACGTTTCGTCTTCATAGTATTTACAGGTGAAAAGAAGTAATTTAATTTACAACAAAACTTCCTCAGAGATGAATGTTCAGATTTCTAATCCGTTTTGCCATATTTTATGAACTTAGAGCGTTCGAGAACTTTTTGTGGCAAATGTACATTTCATCTTGACCCCATAATGAGGTCACTTGCCTGCCTCTCTCTCTACCCACTTCTTTCTTCATGCCTGTCATTCTCCTTATGTCTATGGTTTTTTCCATGCCTGACTGACTCAATCCTTTTGTATTTCCTCCATCTTTCTTGCCTCCCTCTATCCTTTTTTAATTTCTTCCTTCCCGTGTTCTGGGATTTCTCCATGGATAAATAATGAGAACATTTTATTAACATTACGTGTATGATAAAATAAATATTCATGATAACAATGTTAAAGCAGATTTGATAAACTTACCAAACTGTAATAAAAAAAATAAATAAAAATTGCATATTATAATTACTGTACAGTACACTGCTAAATAACAATATACAGTTCAGAAATAAAATTGAGCCCAGTAATTCATATACAGTAGAACGTCGATATAACACGAGATAAGTTCCAAGAGAGGTCGCTTTAAACCGAATTCGCACTAAATCAAGGTGTTGTTTCAATGGAATAATTTAGTTTGGTACTTGAAACACAAAATACTAAAAAGACTGACAGTCTACCCAGATGCACCTCAGCTCTTCTCCTAAAATAAACAAAACATTGTTTTTTGTAGCATTATGTTAAAAGCAGCACTCATAAATCAACACAGCTAAAATTATGGGACGTGAAATGGTTTATTTACTAGCGATCAGCTGATGTGAAGATATTGGGGGGGGGAGGGAGGGTTGAGGTGATATGCTTGACAGTTGATGCCAAGGTCTAGTGCTTATTTATTTATCTGTCCTAAAGAATGACTTTACATAAGAACATAAGAATGGAGGAAACTGCAGCGGGCCTATTGGCCCATACTGGGCAGTCCCGTTTACACCCAACCCCTATTGCTCATATGAGCATCCAACCTATGTTTGAAGCAATTCAGCGTATTCGAGTTAATGATGATATTTGGTAACTTGTTCCATTCATCCACTACTCTGTTCCCAAACCAGTGTTTACCTATTTCACGCCTAAATCTAAATTTGTCTAATTTAAAACCATTGTTACGAGTTCGCTCCTGGTTGGATAATTTGAGTACCTTTGTAATGTCCCCTTTGTTTAGCCCTGCCTTCCACTTATACACCTCTATCAGGTCGCCCCTCGCTCTACGTCTCTCAAGGGAGTGCAAATTAAGATGCTTCAACCTGTCTCTATACTCAAGGTTCCTAATGCCCGGGATTAGTCTTGTCATTAGCCTCTGAATTCTTTCCAAGGATTCTATATCCATTCTGTAATCCAGGTGTGGTCTCACAAAAGCAAGATACAGTTTTAGGATGACCTCGCTAGTCTTGTAACTAACACTCCTTTGTATGAACCCAAGTACTTTGGCCCCAACCGTATTCTGACAAAACACATTTGTTTACTTGGCGGAAGTTCCTGTTCTCCTAAATTTCTCTCCATGAGTCGGGATTTCTCTATGGCATCGTTGTTCATCTGGTATCTGGTTTCCCTGTTTACATCTCCTATACTGAGTCTTTACATTTTGTCTCAGTTGAATTTCATCTGCCATTGCTGGATATTCGAAAAAATTTGTTTGAATCTTCCTGTGGTTTTTGCCGGAGTCCTGCGTCAGATTTGATACGTCCTATTTTAGTGTCATCCCAGCAAATTTACTTATGTTTGCTGTCCATGCCGTGTCTATGTGGTTATGTATATAATAACAATAAGGTCCAAATGCTGAGCCTTGGGGAACTCCCATGACGTTGCTCAATAGGACTTAGATGCCGTTAATGCTCACTAAGCTGTTTCCTGTCCTGTAACCGCCTAAATCCATTTAAGGTCATCACCTTTGATGCCATGAGCTTCCTACCTTTCTAATTAATAGTCTTTTCGTGGGGGACTCTGTGAAGGCTTTGCTAAGAATCGAGATATACCACATCATGTGCCCTCGTCCACCGATTGAAAACTGATGAAAAGAATGTTAATAGATTGGATTAGGCAAAACGTCTGCTTGTGAAGCCATGCTGGAATCATTGATCAATCGGTGCTTCTCCAATTTGATTTAGAATAGAGTTTGGAAATGATTGCTTCCAGCTAATTGCCTACTATTGATGTTAGACTGATTTGCATTGAGTTAGAGGATGATGATCCTATCCCCTTCTTGAAAATCGGTGGCCCATTAAAAGCGTATCCTCCAGGATTCTGGTACCTGTTTTTAAGGACATGTTAAACAACTTTATAAGGACATACTAAGCTCTTCCTTGTTCCTTTAATACTCTAGCCGTCTCTTCCGGGACCAGGTGACTTGTAGGCTTTGTTTTGTCTATTTGCTTACTAACGCCGTTTACTAGTCACTACTATCTCACTTAATTTGTTTTCTTCACTATCTCTGAATAGAGTCGGTGCCTCGTTATCATGTTTATTTCCCGATTGGTGAAAACTGTTGAAAAATATTTATTCAAATTATTGCTCATTTCTCCACTCGTTGTCCAGTGAGCTCGCCCAGAGTCTGTGAGTATTAGTCCAATCTTTCCTAGATGTTTTTAGTTTAAGTACATTTGGTAGAATCCTTTGGGGTTTGTCTTCTTCCTTACTTATCCTTACCTCATTATTCCTCTTTGCTTTCCTTATCAGTTTCTTCTTCGCCAATACCTATAATAATAGTCCCGGTGAATTTTGCCCACGATTTATCCTTCTAGCCTTCCTTTGTGTGTTTCTTTAAATAATTATTTATCCATTTAGGGTCATTGTTGTCTGATCTGAGTTTTTGTATGGTATGTTCTGCCTTTTGTGCATTAAGTAACTCACTATTTAAATTGTATTAGAGTTCGACAATCTCTCAGATCTCTCTGAATTATCAGGTGGGGTGTCATCTGTCAGGTTGGTTCTGACCATACGCGACACCCCCTCTCTCAATACCTCTTTAAACTGTCCAAAGTTTGCCTTCTGAAATCTGGAGCACTTTAGTGGAGATTTCCTTCGTCTGCCCTGAAAATCTGGCAGGAATCAATTTCTTTGTTAGCTGTTTTGTAAGTTCGTTCCCTACCTCGACATGCTAATGAGGTTTCTCTGTTAAACCAGAACTAAATCCAGTATATTATTGCCCGTGTGGGTTCGATTTATGTTGACTTTGAAACAGTCCTGGATGGAATCTCAATCCTCTGATTCTGGAAGTTGCCCGTAAGGTCAGTCCAATCTATTTGGCCAAGGTTAAAATCGCCTACTGTACAGACTTTGTTGTGTAGCTGGAAACCCTCTTTCATCCAAGAATAAGTAAGCTCGTGGCGCTATCGGGTGGGAGGTCTATATTACTCCTGTGATTAATTTTCCGACATTAACAATTCTCAAGTGTTTCACATATTCCTCTCAGTTTTATTTCCTTGTTTATTTCACTTCAGATTATCCCTAACATAGATTGCTACTCCGCCTCCTTTCCTGGTCTGTCTATCGGTATGGAACAGTTTGTAACCACAATTTAGTATTCGACTGGTAATTCACGTGTCTAGGTTGATCATGTTTCAGTGAATGCAATTATATGGGCGATTTCTTCGGTACATACTAAGGCCTAATATCATCCATTTTGTTTCTCATACTTCTACTGTTGTGGTATATACATTTAAGTTGATGCAGTGTTCTGAGTCCTCCTTACGTGTTTGATTTAAGCTCTGTCTAATTTAGTTTTGTCATCATTCTGCACTATTTCGCTGTAATCTTTAGCCTTGTTTACCCGCTCCCACTGTTGATCTCCTCACCCCGTTGCCCTTATGTTCTCTTAGCGGTTTAAGACTTCGATATCTTTTGAACTGCCCCTCTAGAAGCCCAGCGGTTGCTACTCCATCCCTAGACAGATTGCACCCCATCCTAGCATAAAGGTCCCTTCTGCCGTAGAAGTTGTCCCAGTTGTCAATGAATGGGACTGATATTGACTTGCAATATCTGTCAAGATGATGATTGACACCTTTGCTTCACTCGACAACCATTCACTGCCAACTCTTCTTCTAGGCAGGACACATATGATGGGATCCCTCTCCTGAATCTATCCCGATCTGGCTGCCTTGAACTTATCAAGAAGTTCCTCGCTCCTACACCAGCCAATATCATTGCCTCCTGCACTGAGGCAGATAATGGGTTTGTTCCCATTACCAGACAAGATATTGTCCATCCTGTCAATTATATCCCCCACCCCAGCCCCTGGCAAACACACCCTCATCCTATTTTTGTTTTTACCACAAAAGGCCCTGTCCATGTACCTTACCTGTGAGTCACCAACAATTAAAGTTTTTATACCTTCCTTGTCATCCCTGCCCCTAACTGTACTAACGTCCAATTCGTCTATCAAGGGACTGAACGGGTTGGTACACTTAGCTGTTGTTGTCGTTGTTGTCGTATCCTTCGTGTGCTTCTTCACCACCAGCTTGGTCCTCCCACTACTCACAATTTTCCACTCGTTTGATTTTTCGTCAGACACTGGCTTTACTCGTCCAGCCTCTCCTTTTAACTTCGCCAGCTCTTTCCTTAATTTCAGGTTCTCCAACGTGGCCCTCTCGATTTCTAACTTGGCCCTCGCCAATTCTTCAATGGACCACCCCAGTTTGGTCAACAAACTCTCATACCCAAGACCGCACATAGCACTGGCCATCTGATAATTATCCCTCCGGAGCTAACCCTGCCGTGACCTTTCCCCTAGTGAGGTCAGAACACAACTGAGTGAGGTCAGAAATGTCACTGAAATGTCATGTTCTAATTAATTTTATTACAAAAGCACTAAAATTTTTATCGCTTGTGCAAAATATATGACGTTTATATTCAAATTATTCACTGTCTTGCAAGGATTCTAGCAATGCAAATTATATTCTCATAACTTTAGTCTGTGATATTATATAAGATAAAAACTGTGAGCCTATAACCACCAAATCCTGGCTGGGAAGATGAGGGAGGGAGGGAGGGAGGGAGGGAGGAAAGGGAGATGACATGTTTGACAGCTGTGCCAAAGGTCTAGTGAATTATTTATTTGTTTATTTATTTCCTTTAGATTGAGTTTTTGTTTTTGCTTATAAAATGTCAAAGAAGTGACCGGGGAGAATATAATTTACATTGCTGGAATTCTTATAAGATAGTGATTAATTTGAATATAATCATGCTATAGTTACCACAAGACAAAAATTTTAGAAATCATTTAGTACATTATTTTGAGTACATGTACAGTACAGCTTTGCCCTTAGGACAGTGTAGCGTGCCCAGAGAAACGTTAGATGCGAATTTTAAAAATATGATGCGCCAGATAGACTCGCGCAAAATAGGAAAGATTCGCTTTAAATTAAAACATTGTCCTTAATTGTGGGTGTCGCTTTAAATCAATCATCTTAAATTGAATCGCTTTAAATCGACGTTCTACTGTACTGGTGGCACTCGTCAATGAATTAATAAGTACAGTAGCAATATTAAGCATAGTTTCACCATTTCGCTCACCATATACAGTATGGTATTATGTTATATCTATACAAATAAATAAAACAAGTAATCAAAAAATAGAATACTGTAGCGGATTCTATCTGTATTCAACTAATTCAATTCTTTAACTTTTGAAAAGGTTCATTTAAATTTGACACCATAAGAGGTCATCTGTTAATATCGTGGGCTATAAATGCTCGTAATCCTCCGTGTCAGATGCAGTGTCTCGTCCGCATATGCTATTGGTTTTGTGGCATCACTGGGCTGCTGGGATCCTTTTTAGCAACTTGTCACACACAAGAAATCTGTGCTGGATGGCAGATTCTTCCTCTACTATTACCTATACAGTACACGCTTCCTATATGATTTCCTGACAAGTATGTTGTGATATGTTTTATGAGTCACTCATAAGGAACCAGACCCCATACACTATTAAGAAATTACAGTACAAAAGTAATACTGTAGTAACTCACCCAAACATGGAAGGATTGGTGGTCTGTGTTAATGGCATTGTAGGTGGAGCAGCACTAAGGGTGACAGCCTTGGCTCTCTGTTGTTGCTCCTGAAAAGCCTGCAAGCCACTGCTACTACCTAGGGACCAAAGATAATAATGATTATCAACACAAGGGTACATGGTGTACATACAAATAACTAAGGGTGATATTTTCACCAAAGTGGCTGATGAAAAAGGCACAATCATTATAAGTCAAGAAGTCAATTAGAGTCATGACGAGTATGTTTTCATGAGACTTTCTCAAAAGTTTGTGTTGTTTCGCAACGTTCAAACTGCCGAAAGATTCAGTTAGGCAAAAATACCTGTTAACAAATCGTATGTTTGCAAAAGTTTATCCAGAGACGAAGAATTAAAAAAAATTCTTCAACGCCGAGACAATGAACACAGATTTTCCTCTTTTTAATTGTTTCAACAGCTTTGTAGCTGCGTCATACCCATTTAACCAACAAGCAAAGTTAATCTATCAGGTCTTCAGGGTTAGCTAAAACCATGTTACCACTTGGTATTCATGGCCGAGATATTGATAATTTTGTTTGGCCGTTTAGAAAAGTTTATGTTTAATGATATTTCTACTGTTACTGTACTTTTGGTAAAATACTGTAAGTCACTTACAAGGTCAACCAAAATTGTAACTTAAGAAATCTACCAGTTTTTAATCTCATCCTCACTCTCTGATTCCCATAATATTTTTCAAAGGTGTCAAGGCATCACTACTGCAGCAAGGGATCTTTCTGCATGATGCTCCACTAGATTTGCCAGAATCTTCTTCTACGACGACAAAATATGTTCCTCTTAGAGGGACCAATGTGCAGAGTTGCCACGAATCACAATAAATCACTCAAGCAGAAATCAGGCGCCAAACTTAAATATTATAGGCTTTGGTGCCAAAAACATGATTATACAGATGATTACCATCATGAGGGACAAAAGGCGCTCATAATCTATTTATAATCCCATCGTTTAAGGCTTAATTGCTAGTAAAAAATTCTACCAGCCCTGCTGGCAACTTCATAAAAATGGTAAATTTACATCCCTATTCATTATAGAAATAATGTACACACAATAGAAGTTGTATACATTTTTATCTTTACAGAAGTCATCAACTGTGCAAAAAATAATATACAGTATGAAGTTAATAAGTCATACCTCCAAGTACTGGTCGGACAACTGCTGAAGCAGGAGTTTTGGAGTCCTCTTTTGACTGTGGTCGGAAGAATGCATGCTCATTGGGCATGGCTTGAGTGTTCAGACGTTGGCTGATTTCTACAAGTTGTCCATGTTTTGCATACACTTTTGCAGCCACTTCCTTCAATGTGTCATGCTCACGCTGCAGAACCTCGGCAATGTCTAGAAGTAATGTAAAACTAGATAAAATACATAATGAAAGCAAATGCAATGTTTTCCCTTTTCACTTCATTTTAACTATACTGTAACTCCTGTAATATCTTACAGCATATAATCTGAATATGCTGGCAGCAAACTAGGTGTAGTAACTATGTACTAGTACTGAATTACTTACCATCAAGTGTTTCACAAGGGTTACTGGCCGCCTGCATACACTGGGAAACTTCTTCAATTTTGGTGCGGCAGTAGATCATTTCTGCTTCAAATGATCGCACTAGATTGATAAAGAAGACCTCAGGCGCTTTGTTTTCCCCTTGCAAGGCCATTGGGGTGTCTTTAGTCCGTCGGGCCATTTCTACATGCTCTGCTTCCTAGGGAAGTAAGCCTGTTTAGAAACATTTACCATTATATATATATATATATATATATATATATATATATATATATATATATATATATATATATATATATATATATATATATATATATATATATATATATATACACAGTTGTACCCCACTTAACGCGGTCAATTGAACCCAGAGGGTCCCGCGTTAAGTGAATAACAGAACATATGGGATTAATTCCAATAGAACCCAGCCCGACCCCCAAACTCCACTTTTTGACGACAAATAACTATGTTGTAGTAAAAATTCTAACTTAACTTTATGGTGGCATGAAAAACAAGTAATATAGAAGAGGTTAGGTTAGGAAAGATAAAGGTTAACATAGGAAAAATAAAGAATAGGTTAAAAAACGAAAATTTTTGAGGAACACTCACGGTAGTAGAAGAGATAGGTCGGCATACGGGGATGGAGGCTGGTTCCGAGGCAGAGGGCAGATTACTGCCCCTCAGGTGAATCACCATTACTAGGTGAATCACCATTACTAGGTGAATCAATATCACTGTCACTTACAGTTGTCATGGCTTCCCTGACAAATCCCTCAAAATCAACTTCACTATCACTATCACTGGCTTGGGCTGGCTGTGGTGGGTTGCGGGCGAAGAACTCGGTTATGCTTTGCTGACGGCTGGCTTTGATGTTGTCATGATACACCGTGATGTACGGCTCCATAGCCTGCACCAGTCGGGTATGGAAGACGTCATGGCGTTCATCGTCAGTGTCGCGGGAAACGATGGACTTAATTTTTTCTGTTAACTCTATGAGACACTTAATTTTACGGAACAATGGATGCGCGTTAACCCGGCGTGGCCTTGAGGGATGAAACTGCCGCGGCTAGGTCAAGCGTCGTCTCTCCTCCCTCCCTCCCTCCCCGGGGTAGTCACGTCATAATACTTTAAGCCAATTACAGCTAGCAGCAAAGGGGGGTAGGGCTGCATGGCCAATCACAGTCCGAGACGTCATATGACGTCAGTGATAACGCAACAAAGACACACACTGCGCAACCTTACCGCGCCGCTTACCCAAGCGGAGGGAGGAGGAGGGAGAGGCAGGCAGGCAGGTGGGCGGGTGGGTGGCGCGTGGCGCGTGGGCAAAATCTAAAAATAGCATCCGAGCCGGACACTCACCGCGTATATGTGGAAAAAACCCGCGTTAAGTGAAAGTTCAGCTTTGGCAAGGCACCGCGTATATGCGAAAACGCGTTAAGTGAAACCGCGTTAGGCGGGGTAAAACTGTGTGTATATATATATATATATATTGATAAAATCGGAATAACGAGTATTTGTTGCTTTATTCAAGACATCTGAAGATGTCTGAATAAAGACAAGCTAATACGTGTTCCATTTTCCGTATTTTATCAAGAATTATCAACGTTTTCATTGTGTGATTTACATGATATATATATATATATATATATATATATATATATATATATATATATATATATATATATATATATATATATATATATATATATATATATATATATATATATATACACACACAGTTACCGGTTAACGCCCTAGATAACGCTTCTGAAACGTGACGTTAACC